AAAAATCGACACTACACACTAGGAATATGATGATGATGATGTACACAAAACTTATCAATATTGTCCTGTTACCATACTGATGACCTGATCATGTCAAGTGAATAAAAGCTGATCTCATCTCAAATGATCACTGATTACTTTGTAAACATAACTCCATGCCTCTCGGTGCTTCTCTGTCAATTAAGTCTGGTTAAAACGGAGTCATCAGCATTAGCTAAAAATGAGCTGAATTCCTGCCTACACGTTTATGTATGTATGTATGTATGTATGTATGTATGTATGTATGTATGTATGTATGTATGTATGTATAAGCGATAAGTGTATCTTAATGCAAAGGATTACCTTTGGGTTAAATGAGACCACAAGAACATATGACGATGAATCTCTTAATCAAATCACAAGGTGCTTCCATCACAGGATTTAATATTGTTGTATCACTCACCACATTCCTAACCAAATATTGTGTCGCATTAACAGCTCTGAAACAAACAAAGCCATTAGCCAATGAAGTGGAACGCTCTGAATGTGCACAACCATCATAATTTGCCGTTTCCCCCCCGACAAGCAGCTCCGTCTGCATTATGAAATACAACAAGTGAAATGGATTAGTGACCTAATTAAAGAAGGATGTTAAAACCAACAGGAGGAAGGAGCAATTCTTGATTACTGTACCTTACTTGTTTTTGTTTGCCTTTTCAGTGCATTGTCCGCTTATTTTACAGCGAGTGCTTCACATAGAGCACATCGCAAATGTGACCATTGCTCTTGCGGCCCATGACCAAAGAGGTGCGCTGACACACACCTTCACGGTGTGATAGGGCACAGACACTTGCCAAGCCTTGTCAGCATCGTGGACGTCAGCGATAAGCAGAACTCTTTCAGCAAAATAGGACATTTGCAATCATAAGAACCAAACCAGTAACTGAATCTGTTTCGAAAAGAATGGTGAGTACAATATCATCTCTCTATGTGTTTTGCCTAATTGTTGTTAGGGTGTTTTTTTTTTTTTTGTAATTATGAAACATCACCAAATAACCATAGATAGAATAATCGATTCTAAAAATATTTCATTGTGACAGCCCTCATTTTAGGGGCAGAAGCATTGCACAGTAATTATTAGAAAACAGACGAATGAAAGAAAGACTTTATGGCACCAGCTCACACACGAGGGACAGCCAATGATAATTGATGAGTTCATGAATTGTCCATGTGCCAGTTGCGCAAAAAGTATTGTTGTTGAATTATGACTTGGATCAATTGAGGCAAAATGGAGTCGAGATGCGCTCTATATTCAGTCTGAGCAGGTTTAGTTGTCAAGAAATGCTACAAGCAGTATCACTCGGCTCCATATGACACTGGCATGGAAACAGAAATTCAATTATGTTTAATGGAACAACGTTGAAAGTATTGTGTCCCCTTTCTCTCATTCCAGCTGATAACACTTGATTTTGAAGGGTTTTGATATGTATTGGTTTGAACACTTCTTTGATTAAAGCTCATTGGCTTAGCTTGATTACACATACATAGTTCTAATCTCAGGAAAATACAGTAGGTTTTTGTTCAAAGTAAGCAAATCATTATCGGCCTGCCTTGATATGAACAGATGACTGTAACGTATTATTGTATTTGATTTTGAAGAGAATTTCCCTTTTTTTTAGGGTGGGGGGGTACAGTGTGATTTGACATGATTTGAACTCTTCTCAAGGTGTTCGAATTTTGCACGGGAAGCACTGCAAGTGTGTTTAGTAGAAAAGGGACAAATGAAGGCAATGCACAGTGGAATAACTGACTGATCGCCATTCTCTGAATTTATAAAAATGAAATCAGCCCCGAATTGCACATTGATCTCTTGGGAAAATTTAGTAAGATGACATGCAAAATAGCGCACTGGAATTCAGGAATTACGGACAACTGAATGCAATGCACGGTGAGATCACTTTGACTTTAACAGATGTGCTGACGACAGATGTTTTAGTGATATTTATGTCATCCACAAACATAATGAAGTCCTCAGAGACGGACGCTTCAACAGATGCTGCCAAAATGGCATTCAAGCAAATCTACATCGTTACAAAAAAGACACTAAAGCTGCAGCATCTAAATCCAAAAAGGAATCCACAGCAGCCCGCACTGATCACCCCCCCCCACGCCCAGCGTTGCCCACCTGACACTTGTATTCCTTCTAAACTGTTGCAATGACAGATGAGTCAAGACATTGTCACCTACTCCAGCCTTCGCACTTGAATCCATGCCGCCTTTGTAACACCCGTAAAGAATTTGCACACAAAAGTCCAAGCTGAGAGTCATTTGGATGCTGAGTGTGAATCGCCAGTGACTCACATGGGTCAGTGCAAAAAAAAAAAAAAAAAAAACATCACACTCAAGCACACACTGAGGACAAATTTCCATTGAGGGTCATACAAGGGTGTTCTTTTGCTTTATCCACATTTTCTGACAGGAAGTGCTCCTGATAACGCATCAACAATAAGGCATATGAATGTGTGTTTCGGGCTGATAATAAAGAGCACCTAAACAGGAAAACACAGTGCCACCTTTCGCACTTTTCATCAAGGTCATTTACGACCCAGGGCGCCTCAATAAATAAGAGCAATAGCTTTCACTCATGAATCCGCATGATTGACATCTCCCTATGTACACTGGCCTGCTGCTTGCTGCTTTGATTACAGAGTAACTGCATTGACTCGGGATCTTAAGACTTGCGTGTACACCAAAAAAACAAAAAACAAACTTACAGTATTGCATTCCAGTCTAGCAAAATGACAGTAGGCTAACATTGAAGAAATGCTGAGAAGATGAAGACTGCCTGTCATCCATCACGGCACAGAGCAGTGCATATGCGCCTTGCTGTGAGACAGACACATGCGGAACAGAATAACAATGTGCTGGTTCCATCCTCCACCGGAATACTGTAATTTGATTACATTGCTTAGTTTTTTAGCATGGTGGTATCATCATCACGCCCATGCAGCCACACAAGCTATTGGATGTGTACACCATATAAATCCTTTACATTACATTACCCTCGACACCCCACCCCCCCCATCCAATGGGACCGGTCAAGTGTTGCCTTACAGGCCACATTCCCATGAGCAAGTCAGGGTTGCCATGCCATTCGCACGGAGAGCCGCACACAGGTTGATAATGAACAGCCGCATATTGAAAGGAAGAAATGAGAAGCTTACCGTCTCACCAGTAGGAGCACATTCATATACATCCAGTGCACACTAGAAGCGAAATTAAGCCCTCTCTTCTCCAGTCCTTGGATGCAAATAGGTGAGAAATGACTGCGCTTTAGTCTGGAGTATTTTCTATTAAAATAAGAGTAATATTTCAAAGAAAACGTTGGGATTGTTCTTTTTTTTTTTTTTCAAAGCAGCGGTAAGGTAGCGTGCTTGGTATCCCACGGCACGCGAGAGGATAGACCGATGGAAGTCCGCTGGAGTGTGCAGGAGAAGGAGGATAGAGGCGTATTTCTTTCCGCCTGTCTCCTCCCGTCCTTCCTCTCTCTCTCTCTCTCTCTCTTTCTCTCTCTCTCTCTCGCTCTCTCTCGCTGTCTCTCTCTCCTGTATCCCTCGTTATCTTCGTCAGACGCCTTTATCGCCTTCACTGACTTTTCTCCACCAGCGCCAAAAGAGCGCGCTCAACTCACTTTGCGGAGGGTCAGCGATGACAAACCAGTTTTGTTTTGGTTTTTTTTTTGTTTTTTTCGGAGTAGCCAAGTGGACGCTGGGTGGATGAGAGCGCCTAGCCAGGCGACATGAGGTTTGTGTGGCAAGGCGGGCGGGGGTGAGCTCGAGGATGGATGGGTGGCTTGTTTTAGGAAGGGTGGGGAGGTGCTGATGATTTCTGCCAAGGGGATGCACACTGAAAGAAAGAGCCAGAAGGGAAGAGCGACGCGATCAAGTGGGCTATCTGGTGGAAAACGCGGAACTGGATCCGACTCCGAGATGTCTTGAGCTAGGGCTCCACCTACCGTGTGTAAACACACAAACACACAGGGAAGCGCTTGGAACGTGAGCAGAAACCGAATCTTCATCTCCCCAGAACTCGAATTATGACATTTTTAAAGAAATTTTGTTCGTTTATGTAGTGCCCGGTTTACACACACGCACACACACACGCACACGCACACAAACGAACACGCGCACACACATACGCACTCACACACGCGCACACACGCGCAAACTCATATCTCTAAAATACGTGCTGTTGTTGTGCTACCAAGGTCAATCTAACAATTATTCAACAAAAAAGAAGCTGTGTCGTAATGTGTAAGATTTATTCTATTGTACTATTAACTTCTTGGATGAATTGTACTTCTCCGAGTATTTTTTATGCAATATAATTTTCACTTTTAATTGAGTTCTTCTGTTAAAAATATAACCACATCTTTATTATGTTATACTGAGCTCCTTTGCCCTCGCCTGTTTTATGTTTAAAAAAAAAATTAAATCGATGTATTACTGTTTGTGCTATTTGTTTGTTTTGGTTTGACAGAGAAACGTTTGCCTTCTGACTCCATTTCACCAACCAAATGTAGTCAAGTGCACATGTTTCAGTTTCTGTGGCAACTCTCACGGTCAAATGTCCAAAGAGGAACTGCCCTGCGCTGTCATCTATGTCTGCCTAAAAACATTGACGTTTCAGTCTGCAAGAACTCCACATTCCGAAAAAAAGACGTCGAGGTTTTCACTTAGTCTAAGACTATTTATTATTTTTCTTTGTTTTATTCTTATTTTTATTTTCATTAAAGTGATATTGTGCAATCATCGAATTTGCACATTCGCATTTTATATACCTTTTGTCAATTTCACTTTCATCACCTTATTTCAGAAAATAATAAATCAGAAATTACTTATTAATCTCGTTTTTTTTTCATTGAATACTACGCCCAAAATATTGAAACAGCTCTTGTCTGTGGTGTGCAAGTGTACGTAACGTCGTGTCCGGTGAGTGACAGAGACTCTGGAGAGGATCAGTGGCCGACATGCGCACTGGCGTCCTGTCAAGCAAGGCTGCAAAATAAAACACAGTTTGTTTCTTTGATAGCAGGTCTTGTGCCATTGCATTGTAATCATCACTTGTTGTTTATGGAAACTTTGGTGTTTAGTGTATTTTTCTGTCGTCTCACGGCGAACTGGACAACGCGGTGAACGTCCACAGTACATCCGGCACCTGTTGCTCTCCCCCCGGCGTGTATCCATGGATCTTTCCGGATCGTCCATGATGACCGTCTGCTCGTCACGGTAATGGATGGAACTAGATGCTGTCTGTATATGTCATGTCAAATTAATAGCTAACGCGCATATTTAATTAGTGGAAATGATGTTCATATTGACGTTGTCTAGTCTGCATCGCCTTATTAAGAGAAAATAAGTTCGAAATAAGCCGTGAAGGACATTCAGGCTGCGACGTACCTGTCCGTTGCCCCTTAATTAGCACTTCAATGAGACGTTGTCATTGCCAACTGAAACCATTTGTGCAGTTTCCACTCAACGGACACTTCATTAGGTACACGCACATTCAAATACAAATACAAGAGCTCCATCACAAATTCTGGCTTTATGAAGATGGTAATACAGTACTGCACAACATCTGCTTGCTGGGAGAAGTGTTAATTTAGTTTATTCTGTTGATTACAAATGTTTCCAACAACCGATTCACAAAAAATCGATCACACAATTGAGTTCTAAAACAATCATAATAAATAATTGCGGTGTCCGGACTGAGTGTGATTGCCGACATATTAGGTGGCATTGTACAAGTGACCAGCGACTGTATAATTACATACAGTCGACTGATGTAGAGGCAGTATGTCGCAGTTAATTACCATCGGGGGTTGGTAAACCCTTTTGGAGATTTAAATCCTGCTAAAGAGCATTAGTTGACAAGCCATTCGCTCGTTAAAAAAATGGCAAGGGAAATGAAGTGTGTTGTTGAACAGATGTGGAACGCATATTGGATGCATTTCTTTATGATGGGAAGATGGTTCCGTGTGCATTTGCGATAAATTGTTCTAAGATACTTCCAAAGTATGCTGGCACCTTTCGCACATATGTATTTATTTTTCTTAGGCGTTGAAATCATCAGTGTCAGAAAGAAAATGACATTTAACTGAGACGGGAGGTCACCAAGAAAGTGCTCAACCAAGCAAATCTATGATGGAGATCATGGGTAAGTACATTAAAGACTTCTAGACCAGACACACATACTCCATATATAAAGGCTTAGAGGTGACGCAAGGTTACAATAGTGAAGAGTTCCACATACAGTTTCTCTAGGCTCATAGTAAAGATGCTCACAACTTTGTTGGAAAGAGTTTACAGCGTCTTAGCCCTCTGCCATGTGCAATTACTGAATTGGTTGCTCCTGCTCATTAGCTACTTCTTTACTGAATACAGCAGGGACATTTGACCCCGGGCAACCTTTCAGGGTTTTGCAACCAACCCAGACATCCACCACCAACAACACTGTCACTGGTGCTCACAGCTGCAAGTAAATCTCATTGGATTTTACCCAATTTTCTCATATCTGAATTTCTGTCTGTCATTTGATTAGGGCAGCTCACAGAATTAAAAAAGCAATTCGCAAAGGAAATAAATCAAGTTGAAACAATACCTTCCAGAGTCACACTGTCTCCTTCTATACATTAACTTTACTACATTTATGTTTTATTAAAATTTCAGCTTTTTTTGATGCCTGTTTACTGTACGTGTAAAACTCAGTTAACCACTGTAATATGGGCAGAGTCACACTGTCTCCTTCTATACATTAACTTTATTACATATATGTTTTATTAAAATTTCAGCTTTTTTGATGCCTGTTTACTGTAAGTGTAAAACTCAGTTAACCACTGTAATATGGATATACCCCAAAGTAAAGCATTCTTTCAACACATATTTAGCAAAAGTCGAATGAGGACCGTACGATGCGTAAGTGTCAACATATATAGTTTTTATTATCGTACAGTATATCATCAGTGTAAAAAAAATACACTCACTCATGTAATGATCATTATTAAAACAATGCATCAATCTAGCTCTATATAACAAGTGAAAGCACTAAAAGCAAATACTTTGCCGGCTGGCACACTTCTCTTGACATATGGAGTAAGTGTAGCGAAACGACTACAAAAACTCAAAGAAAAAGCACGACACGTGCAAAGAATATACCGTTTCATGGTCGCCTGTAGTACGTTAGTCTCACAACTTGAATGAAAGTGAAACTGATAACGTTCAACCTGTTGAGGCTCCTTTTTCTTGATCATTTTGGTCAGTGTCACAATTCTACGTTTGCAGCGTTTCAATTTCAAGGTTCCGCCGTATAACACTGACAAAGGGACAAGCTTCCATTTATGCGACCAGAATATGCTCAATATGAGTATTAAGGACACACCACACAGCCCTAGGGACGAATGCAAAGTCATCCAGGAGAAACCTTGTCGCTGAATGACAGACAAATTATTGATGTACAATTTCTGTGCAGATACTCAGCGTGCCTTGGAGGCTGTGGAGCGACTTCAAGCCAAGCTGAAAGAGCGAGGGGAGGGCCCCGCTCAGGAGAAACTCAGCCTGCTGAAAACCGTCCTACGGAGCCCCCTCTTCCTTCATATTCTCAGTTTACAGAAGGCTCAGCGGAAGCCCCCAGCCAAGGTACGGCGTGAGCTCAAGTGTGTGTGGGTGTTTGGTGTACATTGAATGGTGAAGAAGGAGCTGGAATCGTTCCCAAAATACTGAATGCAGGAAGCAAACCGGATGAGTAATCAGCTTACCTTGGCTTAGCGCTAAAGCCTGAAGACAGAGAGAGGGACTGAGAAGGAGGGGTGAAGGAAGAATTGGTTGTACAGTATGTAATGTCAAGGAGTTGGCAATAATCATTTCTAAGTTTTGGTCCAATTGTTGTTTGTGTGTGGGTTGTGGCCTTGGTGCAAGTGGTACTTGAAAATCGTTTTTTACACCCATTTGCATCCCACATACTAGCTTGTAGCATGTGAAAGAACAAGACATCATCAAGGTTATTTTGCCTGGCAGGGAATCAAGCTTTGGTAAGTGTGATTAAGCCTTGATAGACTAACTCTATAAGACCAACACAAGCATCATTACATGAGAGGAGTAGCATGATGCGTCTCCCTATTGCAGTGGCCCCCATCGAGTGGTCAAGTCGGAATTCAAAGTTTGAACTTCCTTGTGCAAAATAATGCAAACAAAAAATAGTACAGCTGCACAAGGTTTTCTGTTTATTTTTCCATCACTGATTCAAAATATCTGTTTCAATGGATTAATTAGCCTTTACCGACATATATCAATATGTATATATATACATATCAATCTATCCTTTTTTTATTATGGGTCAGTGCAGCACAAAAGGTTCTAGGTTTCATGCATGTAAAACCACACAAATTATCTCGACGGAATAATTTCCCCTCCTATGCTTTATCCTGACTATAAGGACTGCACTTGTCCTATTTCTCTCTGTCTTTGTATGTGCTTTCGACAGTTAATGTCTCCACTTTCACCATCCCCTTATCGCCCCATCCATTCCCCTCTCGATGTTTCCCCTTCTCCCTTGCATCAATCAATCCATTTCTCATTTATCTGTTCTTTCCCTATCACCCGTTACCTTCCTCAATAATCCGTATTTTGCCCTCCTCTTTGCAAACCTCCCTGTATGCTTCAATCCTTCCAGGGGAAGGGACTTTCCAAATCACTGTCCATGAACTGTGGCAAGTGCACGGGTGTGGCGATGGACGCCACGACACTCAGCCACAGCGACTCCTACACATGGGCAATAGAGAACCAAAGACCCAGCAGGTCGCTCCACAGGGACGGGAGCGTTTCCTCCCTGGACTCGCAAGATATCTCCTTCTCAGACATCTACCCAGACAACTGCGCACACACTGAATCCCAGGTAAGTCAAATTTGAGTCATAAGAAGGAGATTATTCCTCGTAATGGGAGCAAGTGACTCCCGAGGCGCTCGCTCAATGACAAGACGCAACGCATTGCCTATCAAAAATGTCCATTTGTGAGAGAATATCGCTTCAAATGACATCAGCATCGCTGGGTATAAAATTGTGTGATGCTTGCTCGGCTTACTTGCTGTCACTTCAGGTTTCTTTGTCATTTCTTTTAGTACTGCACACCACCTCGGATATCCAGAACCATGTCTATGGGGAGGAATCTGGCAGCAATTGCGCATGAGGTAAACAAGACTCTCTGTCTCTCTTTCTCTGAATCCCTTTTTAGAAGCGTCACCTGGAGATCATAGAACTGACCAATGATGGGAAGGGGCTTGGCTTTGGCATCATAGGAGGACGGAGCACAGGAGTCATGGTCAAGACCATACTGCCCGGTGGAGCAGCTGGACAGGTAATTTGAAAATTATTTATTATTTATGTTTGAATTGGCCAGCTGTGTTGGGACATAACAACATCAGTGTTACAATCCAGTATAGGTCAGTGTAGGTTTTCAGTCATAGCACAAAATCACAAAAGTAGAATGAAAGACAACTTGACTTATCGGTTGCCTTCCGTCCTCAATCGTTGTTTATAAGTGCCGACAAATGTTTTATGACTCTCATTTACCAGCAACAATTACCACACAGAAGTTCCTCAATGTTTTCCATAAAATCCAGGAAACTGTTTTGCACTATGAAGTTTTCCAGAAATTGTGTCATAAAAATATATTTCAAATTCAAAGTAAAAGTTTTCCCCACGAATTAATCCCCCTGAAGTCTAACCGATGTTACCAGCCTTTTCTGCAACGTCGTCATACATTGCTGGAAGGATTCTTACGGGATCCTCCACAGCTTCTTTGTCATCTTCATCCTTATCTTCACTTTGACGATCCCTTAAGCTTGGTTCAAAGGGGAAAAAAAAAAATCATACTGATACAGGTTCGGTGTGTAGGGATGGTTTCTCGAGCACGGCCATGTTTTTATTTTTCAGCTAGGAACTGCGGGATGCTCTGGCATTTTGAGCAGGTGCGTTGTCATGGTGAAGCAGCCACAAGTTGTCTCCTCACCTTTTAAGCCTACAGAACAAAGTCAACGCCACAGGATTTTTTATTTTTTTATTTTTTTTGTCGACGTTCTAGTTGATTGTCTGGCTTTATGGCAAGAACTTGTGGTGGACGATCGACCGAAAAGTATGCGATCCACATTGCCTTTAACGATGGACTGTAGCTGTTTTGATTTCTCTGACTTTGGCGACATTGTCTCTTCCAAATAAGTCTTGAACATTTGATGTTGGGCTTGTCTTCAAAAAAAATAGGAACCAGTCACCCGTTACCTTCCTCAATAATCCGTATTTTGCCCTCCTCTTTGCAAACCTCCCTGTATGCTTCAATCCTTCCAGGGGAAGGGACTTTCCAAATCACTGTCCATGAACTGTGGCAAGTGCACGGGTGTGGCGATGGACGCCACGACACTCAGCCACAGCGACTCCTACACATGGGCAATAGAGAACCAAAGACCCAGCAGGTCGCTCCACAGGGACGGGAGCGTTTCCTCCCTGGACTCGCAAGATATCTCCTTCTCAGACATCTACCCAGACAACTGCGCACACACTGAATCCCAGGTAAGTCAAATTTGAGTCATAAGAAGGAGATTATTCCTCGTAATGGGAGCAAGTGACTCCCGAGGCGCTCGCTCAATGACAAGACGCAATGCATTGCCTATCAAAAATGTCCATTTGTGAGAGAATATCGCTTCAAATGACATCAGCATCGCTGGGTATAAAATTGTGTGATGCTTGCTCGGCTTACTTGCTGTCACTTTAGGTTTCTTTGTCATTTCTTTTAGTACTGCACACCACCTCGGATATCCAGAACCATGTCTATGGGGAGGAATCTGGCAGCAATTGCGCATGAGGTAAACAAGACTCTCTGTCTCTCTTTCTCTGAATCCCTATAATTTTTTTTTTTTTTTTAGAAGCGTCACCTGGAGATCATAGAACTGACCAATGATGGGAAGGGGCTTGGCTTTGGCATCATAGGAGGACGGAGCACAGGAGTCATGGTCAAGACCATACTGCCCGGTGGAGCAGCTGGACAGGTAATTTGAAAATTATTTATTATTTATGTTTGAATTGGCCAGCTGTGTTGGGACATAACAACATCAGTGTTACAATCCAGTATAGGTCAGTGTAGGTTTTCAGTCATAGCACAAAATCACAAAAGTAGAATGAAAGACAACTTGACTTATCGGTTGCCTTCCGTCCTCAATCGTTGTTTATAAGTGCCGACAAATGTTTTATGACTCTCATTTACCAGCAACAATTACCACACAGAAGTTCCTCAATGTTTTCCATAAAATCCAGGAAACTGTTTTGCACTATGAAGTTTTCCAGAAATTGTGTCATAAAAATATATTTCAAATTCAAAGTAAAAGTTTTCCCCACGAATTAATCCCCCTGAAGTCTAACCGATGTTACCAGCCTTTTCTGCAACGTCGTCATACATTGCTGGAAGGATTCTTACGGGATCCTCCACAGCTTCTTTGTCATCTTCATCCTTATCTTCACTTTGACGATCCCTTAAGCTTGGTTCAAAGGGGAAAAAAAAAATCATACTGATACAGGTTCGGTGTGTAGGGATGGTTTCTCGAGCACGGCCATGTTTTTATTTTTCAGCTAGGAACTGCGGGATGCTCTGGCATTTTGAGCAGGTGCGTTGTCATGGTGAAGCAGCCACAAGTTGTCTCCTCACCTTTTAAGCCTACAGAACAAAGTCAACGCCACAGGATTTTTTATTTTTTTATTTTTTTTGTCGACGTTCTAGTTGATTGTCTGGCTTTATGGCAAGAACTTGTGGTGGACGATCGACCGAAAAGTATGCGATCCACATTGCCTTTAACGATGGACTGTAGCTGTTTTGATTTCTCTGACTTTGGCGACATTGTCTCTTCCAAATAAGTCTTGAACATTTGATGTTGGGCTTGTCTTCAAAAAAAATAGGAACCAGGTAAGCAACGAGTGATCAGGTACGCATGATGTGAAAGAGGAGACTCGCAATGTAAATTCTCGATGCTGTAGTTGAAATATGGTTTGTGCATCTACGAGACAGAATGGGACGTGGAAACTCACCAATGGAAGAAATAAAAAGTTTAAAAAGCCGATAAGACAGCAAGTGAAATTACCATACTTTTGCTTCTATTCTGTGCAGCCAAGCTAATTGGTGGGAGCCCCACCATTTTCTTTTCCCGTAAAAGACTCACTAAAACAGTTTCCATGCTGTGGGGTGACAGTGCTAAGTGCTGTCCCGCTGTGCCAGTAAAAAGCCTCTAAAGCTCACCAATTAAGACCAGGCAAATGAATGTAAGGTTTTGATGTAGCCAGTTACGATGTCGTTCGTGCTAATTTAAACCACCTTTCCGCCGCTTCCCCCTTCTCTTTGAATACAGCGGTTTTCTCACCTAATGTTCATTGTTACCCAAATGAACTAGAGCACACTGGCACCTTCAATGAATTAAAATAAAAATGTCTTGTGATTACATTTTGCCACCCCAAGGATAAACGTTTGCACAGTGGGGATCAAATCTTGCGCATTGGAGACACCGATCTGGCTGGCATGAACAGCGAGCAGGTGGCGCAGGTGAGATGATGGATGGATGGATGGATGGATGGATGGATGGATGGATGGATGGATGGATGGATGGATGGACAGACAGACACATTCATATTCATTGCCCATTTCCTGGCCCAGGTGCTTCGAAATGCTGGTAGCAAGGTAAAACTACTCATCGCCAGGGATATCAACAAGGACAGCCTTTCCTCTCCTGTCCTTAGCCAGGAGTCCTTGGATGGTGAGGTAGGTTTATCCTACAATTTACTCAATATAAAATTTAAAAAAAAGTCTGCCCCCAGACAACAATACCAAGGTTTGATTGCGTAAGGCTCTAAGCAATGTCTTTTTTAATGTGTTTCTAGTTTGCAAGTATTCGGGAGAGCTTTTTCTTGTATTTTGATGACTTCATTTCCATTTCTCGGTGGAGACAACAACAATTTTGGGAAATTTAAGGATGATATACGCACGCCAGTGGTTGAATTCCTGTCATCTAACGTTCAGCCTTGTTCGACTTTCACTGGTGTGTACTTATTTGGCAGGAGCGAGCATTTTGTCATGAGAGGCGCAAAATTTGAGCAACAGCACGTATTATATGATACAGAACATTTCATTAAAATTCACTGCACAATAATGAATATATTGTTATGACAATACGTCTCAAATGATGTCAAAACCGTGCACTATGATTCTTGTCAAATTATTCCTAATAGGTGGGTGTTTCTGTGTTGCTTCTCACCAGCTCTTCGACCTGAATGATGACTATGAGTTCAGTGTGCAGTTCACGAAAAACAGCTGGGGGCTAGGATTCACCATCTCCAGCTATGTAGGCGATCTAAACTCAAGTAATAAAAGATGTTTCCGATTTGAATATCAAAACACAAATACATCGCACAACCAAAAAGAAGGTGTTGTGTTGAGTATTTTATTGATTTATTTATTTATTTATTTATTTATTTATTATCCTCCACAGTATATAGTGCGGGTGTGACAGTGAAGAGCATTTTGAAGGGCAGCAGTGTTGACCAAGATGGGCAGATTCACATTGGGGATATCATCCTGTCCGTAAGTTTGAAAAAAAAAAAACATTTTAACCACTGGGATTGAGAAGTGATGTTTCACTTATAAACAATGACACTTGTACCTCTTCAATAGTTTGAGATTAGTTCCTTCTCTTATTTCTTTGTCTGTCATAACAAAGAATGAAAGAAATTAAATCGCTAGAACCTTTTGATGCTCCAGGTTTCAGAGATTTAATCCTGTCCTTAGCCAGGAGTCCTTGGATGGTGAGGTAGGTTTATCCTACAATTTACTCAATATAAAATTTAAAAAAAAGTCTGCCCCCAGACAACAATACCAAGGTTTGATTGCGTAAGGCTCTAAGCAATGTCTTTTTTAATGTGTTTCTAGTTTGCAAGTATTCGGGAGAGCTTTTTCTTGTATTTTGATGACTTCATTTCCATTTCTCGGTGGAGACAACAACAATTTTGGGAAATTTAAGGATGATATACGCACGCCAGTGGTTGAATTCCTGTCATCTAACGTTCAGCCTTGTTCGACTTTCACTGGTGTGTACTTATTTGGCAGGAGCGAGCATTTTGTCATGAGAGGCGCAAAATTTGAGCAACAGCACGTATTATATGATACAGAACATTTCATTAAAATTCACTGCACAATAATGAATATATTGTTATGACAATACGTCTCAAATGATGTCAAAACCGTGCACTATGATTCTTGTCAAATTATTCCTAATAGGTGGGTGTTTCTGTGTTGCTTCTCACCAGCTCTTCGACCTGAATGATGACTATGAGTTCAGTGTGCAGTTCACGAAAAACAGCTGGGGGCTAGGATTCACCATCTCCAGCTATGTAGGCGATCTAAACTCAAGTAATAAAAGATGTTTCCGATTTGAATATCAAAACACAAATACATCGCACAACCAAAAAGAAGGTGTAGTGTTGAGTTTTTTATTTATTTATTTTTATTTATTATCCTCCTCAGTATATAGTGCGGGTGTGACAGTGAAGAGCATTTTGAAGGGCAGCAGTGTCGACCAAGATGGGCAGATTCACATTGGAGATATCATCCTGTCCGTAAGTTTGAAAAAAAAACACCATTTTAACCACTGGGAGGATTGAGAACTGATGTTTCATTTATAAACAATGACGCTTGTACCTCTTCAGTAGTTTTAGATTAGTTCCTTCTCTTATTTCTTTGTCTGTCATAACAAAGAATGAAAGAAATTAAATTGCTAGAACCTTTTGATGCTCCAGGTTTCAGAGATTTAAGGTTTTCCATTTGTAAAGCATCACTATATGACATGGATTGAGAACCACATCCTGTGGTATGTAATGACCCAAAGGAAAAAATGGAGTTGTATGCATGCAACATGGGAAGACTAACACATATTTTTGGAAATAGGGAGTTCACGCTAATGTACGTATGTACCCATATTCTGCGTTGAAAGCTAGCCGTTTGTACCTTCAAGGTCAATGTCTGCTCCCAAACTGCAACAGCAAAAAAAAAGCACTGCTATTGAAGCCCACTAAAGTCCAATGGTACATGTTATGATCTGACTAGCTTGGAGAAAAACAGCAGTGTCGTAGCCCTAATTGTCACATCTGTGTATCGCAAGCCTGTTTCTGATGCTCATGTGACCCTCCATGAGCAAAAATATATTTTCAATATATATTTGCAGAGAACATTTTGTACCACTACAAATTGTTTTGTTTTATTTATTTTTTGCTCGAAGATTGCATGCAGAGGAAGCAAAAAAAAAGTCTGGGAATCACAATAAACATCTCAAACAAGAAGCTGTCATGGTACGCAAAAGTATCCAAGCTCAAATCCACTTGTTTATTTATTTTAATGTCCTGGAACAGCCAGTGGAAGGTTCGCACAAAGTCACAAGTTTAGGTCGGTTCTTGTTACAGACCAGAATAACAGCAGTGCAGATAAGCTGGAGCCTTAAAGGGGATATGTTCTGGGAAATGGACTTTTCAACTGTTTGCGTCCAAATAATTAGGTCTCTGGCGTGCCTGCTCACCCATCAAGTGTGAAATTAAACAACCAAGTAAGTCTTTCGTTAGCTGCCATTTCCTAAAAATGTGTCCTGACCTTGAATAAATAGTGTTGTCACAATAATTAAATTAGCTAGCGGTGGCTTCCCCCAAGCGCAATTCATTTGCACTATGTGTGCGGAAAGGTGAGCCTGGAAGGAATCTCAGACTCTCCAGAAGTTTCCAATAACATCACTAAAAACGAGTCGCTTTATATGTAATCCAGTCACCAGAGGGGTCGGAAAAGTTGCTGCACTGTATTTAATTGTCAAAACTGAATAGCCCTACCTCTGACTCACTGGTTGTCTTGGTAACAAATGTATTCGAGAGGTTTGCCTCCTCCCAAAAATAGATTGATTTAAGTATGACTGGTGGATTTTTAACTGTGCTTAGGTTCTTTTTTTCTTTTTGCAAACGATGGAAGAATGTCATAGACTTTTAGATTTTGTAGGTGGTCACTTTATGTGTTCAGTTTTGCTTTATTTTATAAGACAATCTAAATCAAACGCATATCTGACATGCGCCTTCGTATTACGCTTTCATCATGACAGTGAAGTCAAGTCTGAGTGTTTTTTTTA